GTAATTATGAATTACTTCCAAGGCCTTGTTTATGCTGGGAATGAAAGAATATAGACACATAATATAAACGTGTTTATTATCAAAAATACAAAGTAAATGAATTTCTATTGAACATGGTTGACGTAGGCACGACGGCTACTAGAATATGGTAAAGTTACGAAGGGATAATGTAAACAAAGGAACTTACGTGTTGTTTCGAAGTCCATTAACAACGAAGGCGATGTTGCAATGGCGAAGATTGCTCTATTCTACGAAGTTGTCAAATTTGTCGATTTTGTTACAACGAAATCTTCTTATTGATGTGCGGTGCTTTGACGTTCTGCTTGTTAATAACGATGTTGCGAACTGCACGGTGACATCTTATTCTTGACCCGTTGGGGATCGATCGAGATCTATATGCGAACGACGAAGGCTAATCGGCCATTGATTAATGGGGACTTCTCAACGTAGTTGAGTCGATGGCTTCTAAGCGAAGAATCGGACGAATTCTGCGCGACGAGAACACATATTGCGCTTCTGCGGCTCATGCGCGCACACGTAACAAATAGGAATATATACAGGCAAGGCAAAACTGGTTATGTACAGGGTATTTTCATTAAAGGAAAAACGAAAGGATATTTTATTCTAGTTTGGGGACGCAACAGATATCCCTGCTAAAAATCCACTCATTCTAAATAAACTTGCTTATCGCCGTTAAACCGACTCGCGCCCACTATTCGTATAAAGCGGCACATTTCCAGTTTTACACATTCGTACACGGTCAAGTGTGTCAGGGCTAAGAAATCTAAAAAATTTAAACCCGGAGCTGGCTCCCGTTACATTGGCAAGGACCGCAATTTATCTTTTACTTTATCAGCAGAAGCTATAGCAAAAGAGATAAATTATGGAAACGTGTCTGGATTATGAAAATAAAAAGCACAGTAAGTAAGAAGTACCTGCTCATTATGACGGGAGCCATTTAATTGTATTTATCTATTTTTGAATTTTTTGGCATTGTCTTTTAGATTTGTGATTGGGTGTAGGTGCGAATTTAATTAGATTTTGGCGGTTAGAACGATTTTAGTGGTGGTTTCCTCAAATCAAGAGTGTAGAGTTGTTGATTTAGAGGTGTGCTGTTTTAAAGATTGAGCATTATGAATTATACGGGGGTATACAGGGCCGATTAATTACGTGTGAAAGTGGGTCGCGCCGGTCTTGCGGTAAATTAGGTAGAATTAATGGGTTATACGTGACGGTTCCTGATGAGTTCAATCCATTTCACGACGCAGCATGAAAACTGATTCCCCGGGCTTTTTAACGGCCGAAGTTTTTGGAAATTGCTTTTTTTCTAAACTTTGGATTGGTAAAAGACGCTGAATTTTGTTGGTTGAACGAATAAAAATGTCTGCTGAAACCGATTAGCAACATTTTGAAGGTGTGATTGTAAAATTGGGAAAAGTAGGGATTAAAAGAGGGAGGTTTTCGGATGGTAGCCGCGAAGCAATACGGTTTAAAATTCAACACTTGAGGCGTTAAGCGTTAAGTTAGGAGCGCGATAAGAGGAGATTAAGTTATCGTTAGATCGGGCGACTATTGCGAGAGTGATGAAAAAAGTTAATTTGGTCACGGACAAGTGCGGGTCATAAAGATAAGGACACGCGTGGGGTTACACAAAGTCGACCGAGAAACAATTTTTTTCACATACATATCATGAACAATAATACTCGCGAAATCAAGCAAAAATCCTCGCTCTCCCATTACTTTCGCTATGTGAACCTCGCCCTTTAGAAAAACCGAAATGGGTCCTCCTTTCTGAACGCAATGACCTCCATTGGCTTACCCTAACAGCCAATAGAAAACCCGTATTTCGGTTTTGTCAACCAGCTCAAATGGAATGAACGTAACTTTTGGGTCCGAAGAGATCGTGACAACCGCGCTCGGTCTCCCCAATACGTGTTGTTATCGCTAGACATACGTTTGTTCGTGTTCGCTATGAAGACGGTATATGTGTAAATTGTCCATTGTTGCACAAATTACGAATCCAAAACCAAATTTTCGAAAAACGGCAAAGCGACCGTGCGCACAAGTACAACTTTTTATGTATTTGATTAAGTCCAAGAGACAAGTCAAGTTTGAAGGCATACGACTCGTCCACCTCTATTATTGTTCTATTGGTAACAGTTAGGAAGTTAGGTGCTGGTCTAAGATAATAATTATTTTCTCCCCAAATGTGACATCCTAATCAAAATTGTTTACAGAACCTTAGCCCCACTCCATAACAACATTTCTCTTTGTAACAGATAACGCCCAGTGCGCAGCCAGTTCGCTATCGGCTTCCGAATATTATGGAGGCTCACCATACAGGATACAGCGGCATGCTGCGAATATCCGAGAACGGAAAAGGATGCTGAGGTCTGCTATTGGACCCACCGGGTACATTTGTGTTGATATGTGGCATGTGTCCTAGTTTTTCTTCATAGTAGACTTAGGTAGATATTTTACGTTTTTTTTATTTTTTCCGTTGTTTTTTATTTAAGTACCAGAATAAATGTTGTCATATACAAATGGTGACATTCGTTAATTATTTTCTAACACTTACACGATGTTGTTTTGCAGCAGTATAAACTCTGCTTTTGACGAGCTTCGAATGCACGTACCGACTTTTCCATACGAAAAACGACTCAGCAAGATTGATACTCTGCGTCTGGCCATTGCCTACATAGCTCTACTGAGAGAAGTGCTTACAGCTGACTGTGATCCGTTAACATACGTCGAGCGTTGTCTTAGAGGTGATATCAAGGCCGATAGAGCTCATTGGAATACAAGTGGTACGTTATATTTTCATGAATACTGCAGTATATAATACCATAAGATTACATAAGTACCGTAAAAAATGATCAATATTGTTCTTCGCCAACTTGGGGTGGCCTTCAATTCGATTTCGATTATGGCACCGAGATTCATGGACGGGAGATTTGAATCGACCAACTGCGATACGACCACTCAATCCCATTAACCAGTCACGTAGGCCAAACTGAAGCATCAACAGTTCATGACACAGCTGCTATCATTGTCGAACATCGTGAGGAAAACAGCTGTGCTGTGTAAATGCGAATGATCCCTTGTGGTGCTGGTATTTGTCACAAATTATTTTAACTGATAGATTTTTCTTGTTCTAGACTTGACCGCAAGACTCTCATGGATTAACTGGGAAAATTTGGGAGTAAATCCGGGGAGGCGCAGTAATGTTTCTTCCCTGAGTATTTCTTCGGAAAACATGAGTCATTGACTATAGAATAGATGTAACTTTAAGATGCATTGTTTGTGCAATATTATTATTAGCATTAAACTGCGTATTCGATGTCGTTGATGATGTTCATACCGCATTCTCTTTACCTTACAAGTGTTATATTTCTAGATTCAATGCTACAAGGACAAGCGCAGGATATACATTGCGTTACACATTAATGTACGTAGTAATCTTTGCATTTCTTTATAATTTATTCGTGTTTTATATGCAACATTTTTTTATTTTTTATAAATTTCCGTCTGTATTTTTCAAATTGACTTGATCTAACCTCAATTCAGTAACGGCCTTGTGAGCTCTGAAGTGCGCTTTCCGCTTTATCTGTGACAGGTAACAACGCAAACAAGAGGGATAGTGGATAGCGCGGCACAAAATATTGCGGTATAGCAATGTCTGATGCTAATCAGGTAAATGGTACACTAAAACCGTAATTAGTACTCAATAAGAATCAATAATTCAAATGATATGACAATTTTGATCGACAACGGATTGTACGTACAAATCGATGTATAAAAGAATTAACGTGACGTTAACCAAGACAAACTACTTTACGATGTACAAATAACTAAATTTCTATACAACAGCAATATAATCTAATTAATTCAAAATGTAAATGAGATATGTAATGATCCTCGGGGCCTCTCAAACCGACACTGAAAACGTTGACTTACCTTATACTTACCGTTGGCAACTCTGGGCAAAAATGAGGCAAAAACATAGATATATAAATACATAGATACAGCCATACGCCAACATAGTTCAAAAGGACGTACCATCTATTACCATCACTTTCAGCACATTAATTACGTATAGCGCTATCCTTTATAGAGGTACTATTTCTGACGCATGAACAAATTTGCCAATCAGAAGTTGAACTAAATACAATCCTGGATTATCTGCAAAGCCTTCCATCCACCCAGAATTCGCCAAGAACACGCTGCAACTCCGATGCGTCCTTTGGCGATCGCAAATCAAATAAAGCCGAAGCATGTGCTGATACGTTGCAGTGCCGGTTATCATAAGATTATTTAAGAGTCCGTCATGCAAACTGATAGTTAGTAGTTGATACGGGCACTTGATGGATGAACGACTTTACTGTCCCAACCGCTGGAACTTGATGGGAGTCATAGTTGCACTGTGCATCAATGCCTCAAATAAATCTTTTTTTATTATTTTATTACGAGCTGCTTCAGGAATAATACGTTGCTTGATGCTACAAGCTGGACTGCACATACAACGGCGGCTAAGATGACAGGCTCGGCTGGATGGAACTATTTTTTTCTCTTGATGCCTGTAAGACCGAGGGCGGCGACAACGGTTGACCGTTTGGCTCTAGGTTTAGCTTCTAAGGAGTTGGTTGCTTCTTAATCCGCTGCAACCGGATGAGCGGAGTTGGTGTTCGGAAAATGGACGAAGGTAACGACTGCCGACGTAGATCGGTTTCCTACTTGCTCTAAACCTGAATCATGAAGAACACGACACGTCGTTATGATGGATGAACGACGATTGCTGTTTTTCGACAGAATGCGGAATAAGCTCCTCCTCAATGTTCAGTATCGCTGGTACATCTCCATTTCCTGGTCAATGATTGCGACCAACTCCGCGACATTATCATAAGCTTCTAGATGCATGGAGCACGGCCTCGACCTCATGTTGCAGGCAGTCGTTGTGCAGTTTGTCGTTTTTCTGTCGTTTCAGGTCTCATGACCATGTTCCGCTACCAAATTATGTTTGTTACACAATAAATAAGCCGTAGGTTCTCGAAGGCTAATTTTACATTTAGACCAGTCATTGGGGATTTTTACCTGGAAATAAGTCCGTAAGTTTTGAAACTTTGTAGGTTTATAGGTTTTGAGATCTATAAATAAAATTCACAAAATGCACAATCCGAGACGTGCCGCCGTCGGCTCGTTCGTTGACACGCTACTAGTTCTTTATCTTAAGAGCTATTGTTCTACTTTTTTCGCTATTTGGTTCGTTATGGTGTCGCGGCTTGCACCAAGGAAGGAATTTTTTTCTGCGTTTATTGCTAAAAAAGTTATTGTACAAAAACCAACAAACCGTTTTTTTACATGTTCCATAATTTTACACTTTTGCCGTTGATTAACGATCCTAGAGATCGTTTATAATTTTGTATTGCTGTCTGTGGTCTGTCTGTTGGTCTGTCCGTCTGTTCATTTGTCTGTCTGTCCCTCTATCTGTCCGTGTGAACGATAACTTTGTTTAGAAATGTCCGATCGCTTTTACATCTCCGTTAGTTATTAACTGAATTGCATGAAATTCAATATGGACATAGCTTTAGCCATATAATACGCAATGCCAAAAGTTGAGTCGAATCGATTGAAAATTCACAGTGCCCTTTTCGCATCTCGACCATTTATAAAATTGCGAACTTTTTTATTTATAAAAGTATTTGAATGAAATTTGATAAATTGGCACTTGGAATAAATGAAAATCAAACGCCAGTTTCAAAGTTTGGTTTTGCGCATGCGCAGTGCCAACTTTTTTATCTATGGAAGCATTTAAATGAAATTTGATACATAGGCGTTTGGAACAAAGGAAAATGTCACGTTAGTTTCAAAATTTAGATTTGCGCATGCGAAGTTCAAACTTTATTATTTAGAAAAGCATTGAAATGAAATTCTTCTTATAAACTAAAATTGAAGTAGCACGTCAAAAAGGGATTGCACATGTGCAACGCTATCTTTCATATTTGTGGCCGGATTTTTACGATTTTGACAGAAGTTGCATCTTACAAATGGGAAATGGATGCAAGTGGAAATGCGTTTTTTGTAAATCGTTTACGATTACTTTTTAACTTGTTTACAAATATCTCCAAAACTATGCGTTTTTCGAAAAAGTATGCAGAGCGCAAAATTAAAGAGGAGGAAGTTTCCTATAGAGTGTGTTCCTAGTAAATATTTATCACGAAATAATGGCATATCTTCTATTCAATTAATCGATTAATTTATTAATTAATAGATGTTAATAATTTATGATCAATTAATTTCGATTTGAAATGCTATACTTGTTTCCACACCACCCCAGAGGTAAAGTCCACGGCGCGTTTTTTTTAACGTGGTTTCCCCTGTAGGCCTAATCCACTTAGGTACTAAAATTATCTTTGGCAAAGGCCAGACGAACTTTACTCGTTGATTTCCATATCTTCAACGGGGAAAATGGTTACCTCAGCTTCAGAATCGATGTTGATTTCCTTCAACTCGTCGGACTCTCCTTCTGCAGTCGATAAAGAATCATCAAGCAGCGAGGTCTTCTTCATCGTATACTTGACTGATATTTTCACAAGTCTTCCTATTGCAGACACAGCAAATCATTGAACATCTCAATCGTGCTTTCCTGCATCCGCAGGCTCTACCACAAGCCGCTTTGTACTTACAAGATAAAAAAGCAAGTAGTGCTTTAGAAGAAAGATCTTTTAAAGTAATTACTGGAGTGAGGCCAGTTTGTGTTTTCTTCCAACACCATTTTCAACTACTTTCGGACAGCCACGCCATAGTTGAACCTGATCATATGTTCTCAATGAATAATAAATATAAAGAGAAACCAATTGAATAGCCCGTTTTACTATAAAAGATAAATGTATACGCATAGGTATATGGAGATAGGGGCAGTTTATAGAAATTCAATCAGATCTTGAGCCTAAACGGCTCACTTTAGCAAAAATATGCTAAGCAGTAGGAAATTTCTGCCTCTTCAATTTTGCTCTCAACATACTTTTTCGAAAAACGCATAGTTTTGAAGATATTTGCAAAAATCCGTTTTTGGGCGCCATCTTGGCAAGATGGCGGCGCCGGCGGCATGTCTCGGATTGTGCATTTTGTGAATTTTAGTTCTGGACATCCAAACCTGCAAGCCTGCAAAATTTCCAAACTTCCGGACATATTTCCAGGCAAGCCCTATTTTTGATCCCCCATGACTGGCCTAATTTTAATGTGAACAATTTAAAGAACCGACAGTTATATATTGACAGAATGAATGACAATCAAGATTGTGTCAGGTGACGCAAACAACTGTTTCTCGAATTGCTTTATATACGAGGGCAAAGTGAAAAGTTCTCGGCCGGACAATGAAGGACTGTGATCTTCAGTTTAAAAAAAAATTATTTTTCTGCCTTTTTCAAGGTAATTAATTAACAGAATCCCTTTGGTATCCCAAAACACACTGGTCATGACTTTTTCAGTAGATGCAAATGCAATCGACTTGGCTTTCTTTGGCGCTGAACCACCGGCTTCCACCCACTGCTTCGACTGCTGTTTGCTTTCTGGCGTGTAGTGGTGGGCCCATGTCTCATCCATAGTGACAAATCGTCGCACAAAATCGGTCGGGTTCTTTTTAAATCGGTCCAAACATTGCTGCGAATGTCGGTTGCGCAACTGCTTTTGATCCGCATTCAGCAAATGCGGCACCCACCTTGCACAGAGCTTTCGTATCCCTAATTCTTGGTGTAAGATGTTCCGCACTCTTTCTTCCGATATGCCCACGGCCTCAGCTATCTTACACACCTTTTGTTGGATATGGCGATCACACAATTTTAATTATACATAGAGAGTGTGTGTAGTAGTTGTTTTGAGAAAAAATAATGTTCTAATTTTGCTTGTCACGTTAGGTACTTCAAATAAAGTTCTTTATCCGTTATTCTTGAATAATTCTTCATCACGCGGTAAATCCATTCAGTTCAATAGGTTATTGGCCCAGCGAGTGAAAATTAGTTCAATAGATATTGTTTTGAAGAAGTGACAAAGTATATTAGTAAGGTCCATTTGCGTGGAAATCAATTTCATTATTCACGAACGGCGAAACGAAGCAAATCTTACTAATAATATGGCTGAATTTAAAACGAAATTTGAAAAGCTGGATAACACCAACTATTCCATCTGGAAGTTTAAAATGGAGCTGTTATTAATAAAGGAAGGTTTGTGGAAAGTGATTAAGGAGAAAGCGCCCACACCAAAACAAGAATTGAATTCGTCAATTGTAACGAATCATTTAGAAATTGATGCTTGGTACAAGCTGGATGATCAAGCTAGGGCATGGATTGGGCTTTCAGTTAAAGACGATCAACTCACGCATATCTGGAAAGCAAAAAGTGCTGTTGAAGCATGGAGCAATTTAAAGGAATATCATGAAAAGAGTACACTCAGCAATAAAGTGCATTTGATGCGGTTGATTTGTTCACTAAAAATGGACGAAGGCAGTAACGCAATCGATCACATCAATCGAATGATGCAAGAGTTATTCATAAAGCTCAGTGATATTGGTGAATGGTCATTATCAGACAATTGGAGCGTTGCAATGTTGTTAAGTAGTTTACCACGAAGCTATGACACATTGATTACGGCTTTGGAAACGCGCCCAGAAGATGAATTGACATTTGCGCTGGTAAAGCAAAAGGTAATTGCTGAATATGAACGAAGATTGAACACGGTGAATAGTGATTCGACAGATTGGACAGAAAAGGTATTGAAATCTGTTTCCAAGGAAATGAAGTGTTTTTTCTGCAAGAGATCGGGTCATATGAAGAGTTCTTGTGAAAAATACCAAAGGTGGAAAGATAAAAAGAAGAAGGAAGATACAATTAAAGGTAATATTGCGAATGATCGTGAAGTTATGTTCATCACTACGAACAGTATGCATCACAGTGGCTGGATTGTTGATTCGGGTGCAACAAGACACATAACCAATGACAGGAAGTTCTTTTCGTCACTCGATGAATCATATAAGAGTGTTATTGAGGTCGGAAATGGTGGTACTGTGTATGTTAAAGGTAAAGGTAGTGGTAAATTGATGTTTATGGACAGTAAAGACAATGTACGACGTGCTATCGCAAATGAAGTACTGTATGCGCCAAATATGGTTGGAAATGTACTCTCTGTTCGTCGCTTAGTTGAAAACGGTTTAACCATTGAATTCAACAAGAAGTTTCGTGAAATCAAAGCGGATGGACAACAAATTGGCGTTGCAGATCTAGTGGGAAATTTGTATTGCTTACGGCAATCGCATGTGGTGTATTCGGCGATTGAATCTCATAAAGAAAAAGTTGCAGCAGCGGTCTATGTGAAGAATAGGGTTCTTACCAAAGCGACGCGGCGTAAGCTGGACAATGCAGCTGTGGAAATGAAGTTTCTTGGTTACGATAATCACTCTAAGGTATATCGATACTATGATCCACAAAGAGACAGTAATGACAGTGACAGTGTCACATCAAAAATTAATAAATTGGATGACAGACATAGGGTACGTTCCACTTAACGCCCGCAACGACCACGACGCTCGGCTGCCGTTCCACATAACGACCACAGTCGTTATGGTCGCAATCGCGACGTCAGATATGACGTCATTACTAGCGACCGCAACGAGCCCACGGCGCTCGCCTATCGTACCTGGGTCAGCGTGGGCGTTCTAATTTTATAACCTTACATTCTTGACAGGAGACATTTCTAGAGACATTTAACTGTCAGACACTGATTGTTTGAACACGCATGCGTTACAAATTTTTCGTTTTCGCTATGGAGAAAATATAATTACGTGTTTCAGAACGTAACCTTGTGGTGGACATTAGGTACACTATGGATGTTCTACATGCACAAACTGGTAAGTATATATGCTGGTTCGTGAATGTTAGTTATTTGTTAAGGAAAATTCTGCTCTAACACAATTTTCTTTATTGTAGATCTTAGATTTGCAACTAGTTTGCTGCAAAGTGCTTTACCAGGGAATGCGAATGAGACTCGTACCTATAAATGGTAATGCAGCGATTAATGAAAATGCATGTTAGTTTTGAATGAAGAAGAGAAATTGTTTTCGAAGCAGCATTCCCAGAAGAAATTCTGGGGAGAAGTGTTCATTATCATCGTATTAAGTATGGCCGCAGCATTTATGATAGAAATTCAAAAGTCGTCTTCAATATTTTATTAACAAGAAGCAATATCTTGTGTAAAGCGAAGAAGTATGTGTCAATAATTGGTACTGAAAAATAAAAAAATATTTACTAACTTAACGTGACTTTTCATAATCCACCCCACTTTGTATCCTTTACGCATTACGATTTCCTCAACGGCGTCCATGTTGGAAAACTGTTCACTCACGCGTGACGTCACACCGCATTCAAAAGCGTTCCACTTAAGGGTTCGCCCACAACGCCTCTAAGCTAGTGGAACGATAAAACCGCGGTCGCGGTCGTGGTCGTTGCGGGCTTTAAGTGGAACGTACCCATAAAGTAACTGTTCAGGAGGAGTCAACTGTCATTGAAAGTAATTTAAATCAATGTGACAGCAATGAAGAAGATGAACCAGAGGTAAATGCAGAGTCGACATTAGTAACACGCAAGTCTGCCAGAAGCAATATAGGCGTCCCACCAAGTCGACTAATTGATGAAATTCATGTTGCTAATGATCAAGTTGTAGAGCCAACTAATTACCATGAGGCAGTCAACATTAAGTTACCAACAATTTTGTACGATGACAATCAAAGTTGCTTAAAGTTGATTAAAGAAGAAAAATTCGCAAATCGGACAAAGCATATCGACACAAGGATTTATTTTGTGAAGGACTATGTGGATAAAGGAATAGTGAAGTGTGAATATTGTGCAACAGAATCGATGATTGCTGATTTGCTCACTAAACCATTAGGAGTTAATAAAATATATTGAGCCAGTGGAAAATGTAAAATTGCATGATCGAGGAGGAGTGTTGGATATGGCGATCACACAATTTTAATTATACATAGAGAGTGTGTGTAGTAGTTGTTTTGAGAAAAAATAATGTTCTAATTTTGCTTGTCACGTTAGGTACTTCAAATAAAGTTCTTTATCCGTTATTCTTGAATAATTCTTCATCACGCGGTAAATCCATTCAGTTCAATACCTTTACTCCCCTATCATCCAACACGATATTGTGCACCTTTTCAATAGTTTCCGGGATGGTTGCAGTTTTTGGCCGTCCTTCACGTGGGTCATCTTCGAGCGACGTGCGACCACGTTTAAATTCAGCTGCCCACTTTTTTGACGGTTGACATGGGAGGAGCAGAGTTCCCAAAAACTTTTGTCAACTTTGGATGAATTTGTGTAGGGGTTAACCCATCCAAAGGAAGAATTTTAAGACCGCACGATATTCTAGTTTATCCATTTTAACAAATCAAAGACTCGTTTACACACACTACTTGAGTGAACAAATTGAAACTTATCATACGAACTAATGACATACGGGCGCAGGTACGAAACGTCAACTTTCGCTGATTGGATTGCCATCTCTTGGTAAGGCCGAGAACTTTTCATCTTATCCTCGTAGTCGAAATTAGTATGCCCGTAAGAAAATTCAATTCCGAATTCGATTTATTTTGTTTACATTAAAACTTCAGGAAATCTATGTGCAAAATTAAACAATTCTAAAGTGATTTGCATAGTTATGCAAATGCGTAAACCGAAAAAGGAAATTTAATTATAACATGAGATCATAAGTAAGTGTGTCGTAGGCACCTACTACCAAGACCCGAACAAAAATTCCCGAAGAAAACTTTGGTTTAGCAATTTAGGACTCACCAAGAAGTCACCTAAATGTCAGATATTATCTGTAAACGCATGTAACTAAGGGTGATCTAGGAGTGGAAAGACACGCCATCCAACTATAATCTACTCGTGTATCATGACGACATTGATTAAAACTGCTTAAAGATTATTAGATTAACAACTTTGATATAAAATAAAAGTGTAACTTGGTAACAAAACATATTGTAGACTTTTTCCCTTTGAAAATGTCTCATTTATCACTTATTTTACTAATTGTCCTATTTGCAAGTATAGAAGGTAGCTTTATAACAAGTTTCGAAAAGTACTTTGGATCGAAAACGCCGTATCGCGCAGTGGAAAACAAGGATACGACTCCAGTAGAATTTCCAGGTAAGTTTTCTGTAACTAACGCGCGACAACTGAAACCGTTGTGATTATAGGATGTCAACCCAAAAAAATCTGGTACATTATCCGGCATGGGGCCAGGGCGCCCACCAAGAAACATTTACATAACATGGAACAAAATCTTCCTCGAATCGCACAAATCATTATCAACGCAAAGAGTATATCCTGCTCAATGTGATACAATAATATCAAAGAGTTTTTGTAGGTGAATCTTTTTTGGCCGAAATTGAGGAATTGAAAAAGTGGAAGCTACCATTTGACACTGAAGGTATATTAACGGCTGAAGGAGGGAGAGAGTTGTCATCATTGGCCTCGCGAACTAAGGCCAGATTTCCAACGCTATTTCCCGAAGGGTATTCCAAAACACACTACTACGTAATTACTAGACTTCACGTTAACCATGTCTGTACCGTGCATTTCAGTTTAGGCACACCGATGCCGAGAGAACGCAGTCAAGTGCACGTAACTTCACATTTGGATTATTCGGAAATGAACACTACAAAGTCGAGTATCCCCCTCCGCCACCAGTAGACCTCGTACTGAAGGTTGGTATAGCTACATTTAATTAAATCTAAAAAGTTACTAGTTTTATAAAACCTGTACCCGCTACAAAGATGAGGTTGACAGATATGATTACGAGGAGGCGATTGCATTTAGTAAAAGCGATAGGGTGGAAAATGTCATCGCAACAGTGAATGAACGTCTGAACCTAAATGGCACTTTAACATTCGGTAAGCCGTTCCCTTTCACTTCCCATCTTAGATTAGTTTTCGTACAGATGATGTCGACTATATGTATCAAGCGTGTATTCATGAAGCGGCATCCTTTAGGCAATCTGTGTGGTGCTCTTTCCTACCACTTGAAGCAATTAAGGTAAGATAACTGGCGGGCAGTGAAATGATTAACCCAATGGAAATTGTAGGTTTACGGCTTCATAGATTCCTTGGATAACTATCATAAAAGTGGATATAGGTGCGAAGTAACGTATAAGCAAGCGTGCCCTATGTTTAAATCAATGATTGACCACTTCGAAAGGTAAAGAAATTATGCTCCACGCGAAACTATAGCTTAAGACTTGCAGGAAAGATGGTCCCCCCACTACTGTGTATTTCGCACACGACGGAGGAATTTTAAAGTTCTATGCACACCTAGGCCTTTTTAAAGATGATCATCATTTAAATCGGACCGATTACGAGAGTAGTTATCAATGGGATATTAGCAAAATTGGTCCTTTCGCGACTAATATCGCCTTCGTCTTATACAAGTAGGTAGATATTATTCATTGTTAAACATTTATTGTCGTTTAATGTTTGTAGTTGTTCTTCCACCGAGAAAGTTGCAGTTTTATTGCAAGAACGCATGATAAAACTACCAAACTGTGGTGAGTTGTGCGATTTTGAAAGGATCAAGCTCCAGTACAACGACAGCATTAACAATTGCGCCCACGATCAAATCTGTAAAAAGAAAACGCATGCGCTATAATAATGTGACTACTTAGGTAATAAATGCTAAATGTTTTGTATGTCATATTACAGATTCACTGAAGAATTAATTTTATATTTCTGTTACTAATAATGGTAAATACCTAGGATTTATGAACTTCATCCATTTTCATTATAACGGTATTTGTTGAATTGTAAACAATAATTAAATTTCCAATTGATTCGTCATATGTTAACTATACGTTTTAAGGATGTTGAAGTACCTACATTTTCATTGTTAAATAAAATAACACACAAGGAAATGTTTTAATAAGTATACCATGGAAAAACTTGAGTGCCGCTCTGATTTTAGAATTCCAACGCGATTACACAAAATTACGCAATCCGCCGGTACGCACAAATGCCATTGAACAGTGTTTTCTGCGTATAAATAGCAGCAGTTGTGCGACGGATTGCGCTATAATACAGTTCATTTTCAGGGTCGCAGAGTTTAAAAAACTCAAACTGACATTCATTCTCAAACTCACATCGACTCAGAATTCCGCCGCATCAGCAGACACCAAAACACGCGGCACCTTGATAAGGAGGGGATATGACATCAGCAAGGTGGTCATACAATTCTTGTTTCCGGCGCTCAGTTGCGCGTTGAAGGGTTCAAACTCCGGAATTAATTAGGTACAAAGAAAATGCAATTTTTAGACTTTCTTGGAGTTTTATCATTGTGGATATCGTTGTATTCGTAATAAAAAATGCTTCCCAATACAATGCGTACTTTTTTTTTCTAACATATCTTGGAAGTCGGAATTTTCTGGTTTTCTTTAAAGCTATATTGCGCATCTTGTCTCTAATTTGGCCATCGTCATATCTTTTGCCAACCTCTGGTTAATCTGGTTGAATTATCGTAAAGCCCCAAATTGCTGATGTATAACGGGTAGTTACTACAAAACTAGGACCAAAAACCCCGATCGTACTAAACATTTTGATTTTAAGATGATTTTACATACTGGCAAACAATTTGCTGTCGGATAGCTCGATATAACGACAAAATGTTGAAACAAATTTTCTCGGATAGACTTTTTCTCCTGTTCGATAAATTTAAATGGTCGCTCAACAAATATCTGAATTACAAAATATTAAAATATATTTAAAAAAACATCACATTCTGTCTTCAGTTACATCCCTTGCGACGATCTTTCCGGTCTCTCTCGTCCCGTCACATACAAGAAACAAAAAAAATGTAAGGCACGGACAAATATTTAATTACTGGATATTTAATTACTGGACAAAGTACAAATACGGTATTAAAATGTGCTTGAAACGGCGGGATCGGTCAGCGGAGCTTCGGGCGCCACCAGGCGATAGTCTCGCGCCTGGACCAGGACGGCGGACTGAAACTCACGGGACGGTTACGGCTGCCACAGGTGCTTCAATCGGAGAAATTGGTTAATCCAGGGCTTCGAAAAGGTACGGTAAAGACTGACGGTAATCTACAACAGAATTACGGACAACAAATTCCCAAAGGGGGAACGGCAAGTAGTTAATTATCTAAATGAGGAAAATACAGAGGAAGAAACAAAACCCCCCTAACGGTTAAGATAGTATCTCACCTCTAAGTAAAAACAGTCGGAAGAGCGAATGCAACAAAATCTTCTAACCCTAACCAACAAGATGGCTCCTCTCGTGTTCTTACCTATTTATTCAATCGTCAATTTGGGAAGGGAATATGTAGGAAAATCCAAATCGGGCGGCGTGTCGTTGCGATAAGCTCAAAATTAAAACTTCTTTAATTAATTACGCGGCCCACGGAGGTCCTAAAAATCGCCAACCGGTATCTAAATTCTAATTAATTAAGCACGCTTCGAATAAGACCAGACTCCACGCAATCGGACTAGGTTGGCTGCAACAAATAAAATTAGCTACCGGAATTTATTCCTCACTTTTATATATTCACGTTTAATGAAATAAGTTGCAAGTTGTTACTTTTTCGTTCTATTCAATTCGTAATAAAAAAATTATCAAAGTCCTCGTTTGAGATCGAAGGGACTTCAGCGCATTTTTGTGTGGCAGATCAGTATTCTATTAGCCACTTTCGATTCAACCATCAATAACAGATCTTGTCGAAGGCTACTACATTCACTAACCGCTTCCCACTTTCCTCGTTCACCCGCAATTCGCTTTTAAAGATTTGACTCCACCATCAGGAAGATCGTGTCGGGGGCTACCACATTCCCTTTGACGGTACCCACTTCCGACGTTCGGTTCACCCGCAATTCGCGTTTGAAGATTTGACTCCACCATCAGGAAGATCGTGTCGGGGGCTACCACATTTCCTTTGACGGTACCCCCTTCCGACGTCCCGTTCGCCCGCAATTCGCGATTGAAGATTTGACACCACCATCAGTGAGATCGTGTCGCGGGCTACCACATTCCCTTTTACGGTACCCACTTCCGACGTCCCGTTCACCCGCAATTAGCGTTTGAAGATTTGACTCCACCATCAGGAAGATCGTGTCGGGGGCTACCACATTCCCTTTGACGGTACCTCCTTCCGACGTCCCGTTCACCAGCAATTCGCGTTTGAAGATTTGACTCCACCATCAGGAAAATCGTGTCGGGGGCTACCACATTTCCTTTCACGGTACCCCCTTCCGACGTCCCGTTCACCCGCAATTCGCGTTTGAAGATTTGACTCCACCATCAGGAAGATCGTGTCGGGGGCTACCACATTCCCGTTGACGGTACCCCCTTCCGACGTCCCGTTCACTCGCAATTCGCGTTTGAAGATTTGACTCCACCATCAGTGAGATCGTGTCGCGGGCTACCACATTCTCTTTTACGGTACCCACTTCCGACGTCCCGTTCACTCGCAATTCACTTCTATTGGCGACACGAGAAAGAGAGACAGCGATTCGAGATTCACGAAACGTTAAACCGCGTGAGTTCGCAACGGAAGGTAAAAGGCGCCTGACTACTTCTCGAAGACGCGCGCGCGCGCCTCGCAAAAGGTCGTTAATTTCGCCCCTATGACAAAAAACAAAATTCCGCCACGCAGGAGTTGTGCGCGTTTACAACATCTTTCCGACGACACCAATTTCAAAAGAATCGGACCAAAACTGTAGTAGAAGATAGGAAAAAACTGAAAAACCTTCACGTTAGTATACTACGCTCGAGGATGACGCCCAGATGTCGCCAACCCCACATCATGTAGCCATGTCCCTAAGGTTGACAAATTTCACGGCCCTGTAGATACACGTACACCCGTTGCCTTTCTACAAGAGTTCTTCTACGCGCCCACATTTGCTGCCAGCCAGCCAGCCAGCCAGCCAGCCAGCCAGCCAGCCAGCCAGCCAGCCAAAGTGAGATTAAAAGCTACTTTTTACAAAAAAAATTTTTTGCAAAAATGCGCTAAAAAATTTTTTGCAAAAATGCGCTAACAAAAAAAGTCATGGCTATTGCTACTAATAACAGAAATGTTGAAACTTATTTTTCAATTTGCGGGTATACCGTGCACCACCCGGTAAGTCAAACTGACGAGCAGAAATGTCCCCTTTAATCCCTATCGAGTTGCATTTAATTACAACGTAACAATCGATTACAGTTTACAGTAAATCGTTGCTATTAGCCCAAAGAACTTTGTGTGTCCACATTGCAAGGCTTTTAAGTTTAAAACTGAAGCCCCGGGATTATGTTGCGCCAGTGGCCAAGCGAAATTTACGCCATTGGTACCGCCACCAGAGCATTTCTTGGTTTCTGGAAATGGGTCAGATTCTATACATTTTTTTACTCATATCCAGAAATACAACAATTGCTTTCAAATTACGGCATTTGGCGCAAGCAACGTAGAAGTGAGTGCGTTTATTTTTTATTATTCTGGGGAGAGATGGGGACATTTTGGGGCAAGTGTGTCAATATCTAAACGGCTAAACGGTTGAACCGATTGAAACCAAATTTGGTACACATATTCTTAGCCATAAAAGGGCAGAATCGCGTATGCGCAGGTGGGGCGGGTGGTACCTGCGCTTGGCACAGCAAATTTCTTGAAATAATTTTTTCCAGTGCAAATTGATTAGGTATGCATAGCGAGGAAAGAGGACAACGTCCGTCGGGTCAGCTAGTATATTAATAAATAAAAAAGTTCACATAGCGCAGATTTTTCTTGACTCAGGTGCCAGAGCGATACGCTACCGAATGCAAAAAGAACGAACTAAATATCTTGAAAACTGAAGGAGTAGTTACGGCCTCGGACGGACGACGGACAGGGAAAGTGGCTGCAATAGCGCACCCGACTTCGTTGGAAAATGCCCTAGAAAGGGTTTAGAAGATAAATTTCCTACAAAAAAAGTTCCAGAGGGTACCTATATATCTAAGTCTATATGTCGCAGAGTTTTTTTGCACAAAATTCCCTCGTATTGCGCAAAAGGTTTTTGTATACCGTGTCATCTTTAGATCACGCATATGAATGCATTAAAATAACGTATTGATGCAGACCCACGCAAATCATACATTGCGTAAAAACATACACATATTTAAATTATTTTTTTTTCAAAAATGACTCGAGGACTTTTTTTTGGAAATTTAATCTTCTACTATACATATATACATTTTTGCGTATCTATTACGATTTGGCCCGCCTTTTGAAATAAATGCCCGCGATCCTGATTTTCCTAAGAAAACGCCATAAGACTGGGAAGTGTGATCAGATCAGGCCTATATAGTTTCCGTTTCTCTTACATTGCATGGCCCGCAAACTGAATTCACTTTGTGCTTATATCTACTAAAGATCATTGATTATTATTTTACATCGTGGCACATAAGGTACTTAGGTACCCTACCAAACCCTTGTTCTAGGAAATAGGTACAATCGCTTATAAAACACTATGTAACACTTAAGTAAAAATCTAGGAAAATTGGTATAAACCATGACATTTAAATTAGAATGGCCAAAAGAATGAGATTACGTTAGAAGAAGGTATGGGTAGGTACCTACATACCACCTAAGTGAAATATGTAGGTATCTTACAAACATTTAATTTAAAGACGTGCATCACGTTTCTTTAAATGTCAATTACTTTGTATTCCTTTGAAAAATTTAATAATGGTTTGCATTTTTAATGCTAAAAGGTTACCTACTTTACATTCTTCAATTCTAAAAGCAAGTGAGTGGTATTTTCGTTGTTAATAATAACATAGTGTAAGAATAGCTTACACTATGATAATAAATAATTAATTATTAAATTTTAATTATTAGCAATTCCTATAATATTATGTAGGTAACAATTTCAATATTGTCTCAATATATTTAAGGAATCTCCACTCAAACGAGAGGCTCATCAGAATTCCCCAAAATCAATCACTTTGACCAGACTGTGTTTTAACAATTATAATTAATCATCTTGC